CTTTCCTGGAGCGGCGTCGGAAGTTGACCCCGATCCTCGAAACTGAAAATTAAAAGGAACGACCTCGCCTCGATGTCCGCGCGAGAGCCCACGCTGTGGGCGCGTCGTACGTTAGTTCGGAATATTGCATGACGGTACCCGTATATCGAGTCCACGCGCACTCGCTCTTTCGCTCGAATCGTACATTCAGCTCGAGCCGGTTATCTAGACGGGCGGCGAGCCCGCAGCTAACTTGAGAACCGAGGCTTGGGGAAAAAAACCCCTTCTGGCACATCAAAGCCCCGTCATCACGTCCGAGCGCGGGCTCTCTCTCTCTCTCTCTCTCTCTCTCTCTTTCCTTTCATTTGGTGCTATCCTAGAATCGATCAGTTTTTGTTGATGCAACCGTGTTGAAAATTATTACGAATTGGCGTCGACGAGACGCCGATGCCACTCGGCTTCGACTGACCAAATATTATTTTATAAAATGCAACACAAAGAAAGCTTCTAACATATATCGTATCATAATAATTTTTTGGGCAGAAAAAAATCAATTTCATATTAATCGGAAAATTTACGCGTTTGATGACTCGTTAATTAACGTTGAGATCGTACATACACCTCGGTATTCTACACATGTAGCTGCATAGATGCAACAAACACATGCGTGCAATACGACCGCGAGAAAGAGAGAGGAAGAGAGAGAGTGTGTGAGGGGGGAGGAGGGAGAGAGAGGATGCTCCGTGGGGGATGATGGCGAAACTCCTGCGAGCAGTCAGTCAACTTGGTTGGCTGGCCCGGTGTGTGTCGGTTAGGTTCGTGCGCCGCCTGACTGCCTGGTCCAGACGCGATAAGGCACGTCCAACACTTCCACCGGGATTCTGCTCGGGGCTGATATCATATCCGCCGCGTCGCGCCGCGCCGGGGCATCCCCGGCGCTTCGCTTCGAGGTGTATTTCGCGATAGTCGCCCGCACACCGCGTGTACCGACCTATCTACGTACCTACCGGATACGGCTTACGATCTGGTGCCCGTCCCCGGCGTATGCGCGATCTCCTCCTCCTCCTCCTCCTCCTCCTCCTCCTCCTCCTTTTCTCTCCCGTCCCTTCTCCTCCTCGCGAATTTCATAAAACTGGAGGACCCGTAATACTAGACGGGGAATATATTAGCTCGACACTGCCGGTTCGAAATCTCGTGACGCTGCTTAGGGTAAATATATTAACGAATAGCCGGTTAATCGCCTCTGTTGAGATGATATTCCGCTAATTATGTTTGACACGTTCTTTTGGAACAGTAATGAAAATACCCGGGCGCGCGCGGAGCCATTTCTCTGCAAACATTAGTTTGAATTAACTAGAATGTTTAACAAGGTTTTCTCTATGACTGCGGTTCCCATAAATGATAAAATTTATGAACTAAATTAAAATTAATCGAGGTTTGCTTAATCTTGGGTCTCTTTATATAATCTTGTATTTAGAGGAGTCGGTTCAACCGTGTGATTAGTGTTGATTAATATTTATGGGAAAGCGAAAGTAGAAAAAGATTCGGAATTATTCCAGTTATTTTTAATATAGTTTAGAGGAACGGCTCGTACGCACATCTCCTGTTCATCCAACTTCAAGAAAGAAAAAAAAAAAAAAAAAAAAAAAAAAACGTTAATTTTATTCTTAATTTATTCCTGATAAGTCGGTCGAGCGCTCTTTATTAAAAGGATACAATTGGCCGTTTATTGTATTCCGCAATCGGATACCCGCAAAGAGTCATAGATAATCCAATGAAACAACAACGAGAGACGAGAATGACAAAGTGCACACGACAACCCGCATCTGCATCAGCGCTAAGAACTCGTGGAGGACTCGATGTAGGAGGACTCGATGGAAGATACGCGACGTTGGGACTCTGTGTTCCCGTTCACAGAAACTACCGGCTCGGCTCTCTGCGGTTTCGGGATCGCGGCGTATCCGGCGATCTCGAAATGGGAAAGCGAAAGTAGAAAAAGATTCGGAATTATTCCAGTTATTTTTAATATAGTTTAGAGGAACGGCTCGTACGCACATCTCCTGTTCATCCAACTTCAAGAAAAAAAAAAAAAAAAACATGCGTTACAACAAAAACAACGCGTTAATTGT